CAGAGCAGCAGCCACACAGATAAATGGAGGGAAAAAACAGCACAATGCTCAAAGACGTCCCTGAGCCCCAATTGATGGTAATCTTTGGGCCAGGGAGGTCAGAGGGGAAATACATTATCAAAGGATATACAATAAAGCATATAACTGAAGCAAATGAAGTAAATAAATCAAATTACGTTAAAATGAAGTAACTAAATATATGTATAAACATGCAAATATTATAATTAAAATGTAATAACTATAATAACTATATTAACCACAGTAATGATATGAATAATGTAAAGTAAAAGGCCCCACAGTTAAGAACCGTGGGACCCAGTGTCACTTAACTGAGGTAGCAGCAAAGAAAGAGGAAGTAGTATACTGGACACTGCCTATTATGCTATAAAGAGGATGCTGATTGGCTGTTCCTGTTGCTAGGAAGATATACCTCATGTTATTTACTGGTTTCTTTTATACTGATTTAATGTTATTTTTCTTTGCTGCTGAGGTTAATAAAGAAAGAGTGCAGCATAATAGGAGCCTCCGTGTCTTAATAAAATTACGTTTGTTTAGGCAGTCCTAGTAACACCATGAAAAAAAGGTTTCAAATTTGCAGAACAATGTGTTAACTTTAGAAGTTCTTATCTCCTGCTCTGTTCAGTGAACTTCAATCACAGACAAGAGGCTGCTGTAAGCTCTAGCAGGTAATTAACTGAGAAAAAGAAACAAATAAAAATAAGACTGTACTTCAGAAAGTGTGTAGGGAGGTTGAATTAACCAGGGTAGGTGTGGCAAAGCGATGTCACTCCTAAATGTCAGAATATTGAGCAGGTAGACTTCACAGGCAGGAGCTATAAACCAAAACCTCTTCATTAAGCCAAAGTTTATCTGGTGCTTAGAGTGTCCCTTTAAACTAAAAAAGGAGCAATGCTGACACTTGGTTCCACATAAATAACCCCCGTTTAGTATGGTGCTGTGAGGATAGACTGTGGTCTATATATTCACTGTTATGCCCACAATATGATCTAATGTGAAAATGAAATGACTGTGTCTCATTTTAGTCTCAGTCTGTACCTGTGCTGGAGAAAATATTTCCAATGCTAACACACAGTTCAAGCTACTACAACTATTCTGCTCTAAATAATATATATTTCAACTTATCTACTTCGAATCTCCAGTCCCACTTTGATAATATTTAATCTTATACGTAATGCAAAATGAAGGACATATAATAGAATTTAAAAGTGTTTGCAATGTAAATTGCAATGATTTGTATTTAGAATTATACAATATAATAATTTCTAAAATTTTCTTTTAGTTGAATTCCTTAATTCCTTGATTTTCCTGTAGTTATGAAAGGTATATTCTGTTTGATATCCTTATTTGTCCTGTTATCACTGTTATAAAAGCAAAACTAACCAAAATTCTAAAACTAACAAATGGGGTCCTCAACATCATTAACTAGGAGCTTTTTATACTGTTGGGATCATTAATTTTGACTTAGTTTTCATCATTGATTTCCTTGCTGTAAAACACTTAATGCATTAACTGAAACAAAGGTGTTGAACATACATGTTTCCAGGAACCCCCTTTTGGTAGAAATTGAGCATATCATATTTTCATGTTCTCATGATTGTCTTAAGAATGTCAGTACTTGTTTTGTGATTTCTTATGGTTGCACAGATTACCTTACAATCAAAATGTAATTTTAGATTTTCTTAGCAGATACGTTCTCTGCTGAATTGAATTAGGAAGAGTTATGTGTATAACATGTCTAGAGTTTGAGGTAGAACCATTAAGAATAATACGTTATCCTAGATTACTGACAGACCATAATTGGCTACTCTACAAAAAGTGAGCTCTGCAGAAGGGCACGTTGGTTGAACTTTGGCAGGCAACGTTGAACTCTCTTTAGATGTTTCTAGCCTACTATTACTAGCAGCCATAATGGTTTGCTTAGGTCTTGATGTCCTACAAGAAGTTATCCTGGAGAACTCCTAATGGAGCAAGTAATTATTCGTCTAATTTAAATATTTGTCTCAGTTTCCTTATCTTGCATATTTCATCTAACATAAATATTTTATTACTTCTATCAAATTGTAAAATTTAGTGTTATAGAATAATGAGAAAATGATGCTGAATGTGCCCTTACAGCTTACAGTGTCCACAAACTCACATGACCCATTCAGATCTCATATGACCAAGTATAGTATAATTAGTGTGAGGTGTTGGAAGGACTATTGCACCACGTTCCTTGTCAATATATGCTTTTTAAATGGAACTCATTGTGGAATGTCATGTAAATGAGTTTTCATGAGTATTTA